GGTACATGCCCTTGACCAGAATCGAACCTGGGACCCTTGAGTCCACAGGCCGACGCTCTATCCACTGAGCCAAACCGGTTCGGCTATTGTTTACATTTTAAATTAAGCATCCTGTAATGTCCTTAATAAGAATTAATATTTATAATTGAATTGCAAATGCTATATTCTGTTTGCTGTAATTTGCAAAAGGAGTGGAAGCTTGGCTAGTGTGCTTATCAATTAAAATTCTTTTTTTTTTGGGTGATAATTATAAATACAAAATGATCTGGTAGAAAATATGAAAAGCCAGATAAAAGATGGTAAAACCACTGCTATTTTCTTCAAGCCATTTTTTATTCATAGATTCATAATGATAATATTCATTAATAAATTTTCATAATGATTGATAATTATAAAATTAAATCTTGCTGTATATATTTTAATAGTGCTTGTTTTTTTCTTAATATTGTATATAAGTGTTTTCCTCATGGCATTAAGATTCTTCTAACATATTTAAAATGTATGACCTGTGCCTAGAGCATATATTTTAAAAGGTACCTTCTTACGTACTGACATTATGTGGGCTATCCTACCTTTTATCTCTTTTCTGTATTTGTGGTTGTCTCTTTGATCACTTATAACCTTGTAACTCAGTGATTGAGTTCATCAAACTAACTGTTTATAAGAATAGAAGTGAATAAAGTTAAGTGGATTTTAGAAAAGATGAGACTATGATTGAAAGATTTTCATGCTTAATCTAGGGACACAAATTAAAATTTGAAATGGTGTTTTTTTCTGGTGACACACTGTTTAGATATTGCTGTACTCAACCTAAAAGATTGGAATGTCTTGATAAAGGAATGACTTGTTTATTTTAAACCTTTGGGTAACTTTTCCCCCACTTTACTTTTTGCCTTAGCTGACTGAAAGTTTCTCACATCGATGTTTCTCTCTCTCCCTTCCTCTTTCTCTAAAATTTAATAAAATCCTCAGGTGAGGATTAAAAAATATGTGGGTATATGAATGCATATGCAATCATACTTAAACATAAAGGCAATTTCTCTTGGTTCAACCAAGAGAATTACAAATATTGTCCTATTACTTCTTTTACTTAATAGTATATCTTCAAGATCTTTCTATTTTACTACACATAGGCTATTAAATAATAGCATTCTTAAAGGGAGAATATGCCAATTTCTTTTTCCCTACTAATATCATTCTTATTCCATTTTTCTCTTCTGAAAGGCAGCAGAGGAAGTTGGGTATCCAGTAATGATCAAGGCCTCAGAAGGAGGAGGAGGAAAGGGGATCAGAAAAGTCAATAATGCAGATGACTTCCCTAACCTCTTCAGACAGGTATAGTACAAGTTGTTTTTGTTTGAATTAACATCCTATCTAATAATAGACAAACATGGTAATTGACCGTACCTTCGCTATGCCTCCCATTGGCTAATCAGCATGATATGCAAATTAACCACCAACAAAGACGGTGGCTAATTTGCATACTGCAGGCAGGGCGGGTCAGTGCCATCCCACCTGCCCTGCCGCCATCTGGGCCTGCTATCTGCGACCCGGAGCGACAGGCGTCCTGTGTGCAAACCAACCCGGGGCGCCGGGTGGGGCAGCAGCGATCGGCCGGCCCGCCCGGGCATCCCGTGTACAACCCGACCCAGGGCGGCGGGGCAGGACAGCGTGGCTCCTCTGTCACCCCAGCTTCCTCATCACAGCTCCCTTGGGGGCCTAAGCCTTTAGTCGGACATCCCCCGAGGGCTCCCTGGCTGCCAGAAGGATGTCTGACTGCAAGCTTAGGCCTGATCCCC